CCCCGCCCCACTAAAAAAGGAACCCACCAAGCCCCCAAGAAATAAAACAGAATTTGAAAATTTAAAATAAAATAAACAACACCCCTTAGACAAACATACAAACAAACCAATAAAACAAACAAACTAATCTTTGTGTCCGTCTCGCTGTCCAGTGGAGAGCAGCAAGGCCGAGTGTCCCCTGAGTGACCAGATGTTGGAGATGAAGAAATGGGCGCTGGAGTTACATGACCTGCTCAGACACGGCTGTCAGACTGGAGGTGACGTCATTCTATGAACTAAAGACTAGAATACTTAATATTATGAGGGTGCATGGCGGTTCAGTGAACTGGAGATAATAATAATTCAATGAACTGAAAACTATACTGTTATTTAATAATATGGGTGCTTGGCAGTGCAATGAGCCGAATCCTATGAAATTGAATATTATGTGGGTGGCAGCTTGGCGTTCCAAACAACTGGAGACAATAATGTTTACATTTACGCGGTAATATTTTGTGTTTGTTTGGCTGTTTAGTGAACTGAAGACAGTAATATTTTGTATTATGTGTTTGCGTGGCCGTTATATGAGCTAAAGATATTTGGATACTTGGCGGTTCAATGGACTGAAGACAATTATTTTTAATATGTGAATGCTGGGCAGGTGCTCTGATGTGGTTTGCTTCTTATTCCCAAGAAAAAAGTATATCGTTCTTATCTCCCCATCTTTCCTTTTTGTGTTTGTTACTATTTTGTAACGCCTCTATTCTTCGTCCCTGACATGATCTATGTAGCAAAGGCTGTAAAACACTTACTGAAACAAAGAGACAAAAATATTTTGTTTTGTTTTTTAACGTTATTTCCACCCCTCATAGTTTTGTCATATGCTTTTTCAGATATTCTAAAAATACTTTTTCCCTTCTGTTTGTTTCAGTCTGTGTTTTGTTTTTGCATTTCAGGTTTTTCTTCTGTGTACATTTTCTTTCTTTCCCATTTTAAAAAATGTATTCCTTTTTTTTGGCCTTCCATGTTTCTGTTCTATTTTTTTCTCCCACTTCCTGTACTTGAACTACTCCATTCACCCATATACACATGTACATTGTAATTGTTCTTTCTTTCTTTTATACTTACTTACTTTTACTTTGACTTTTTCATCCTCTGTTGCCGTTAAGCGTCGAGGGGAGATTTCTTTTATAATCAATATAAAAATACCGAAATCTGTCAAATTCAAGCATCTTTACTAGCATACAGACTCGATATATCGCGCTCATATGACAATATTCAGTTGAGAGCGCCGTAAAATGTTAATCAAAAAGACTATTCAATGTTGCCATAAACAGTCTAAACGTGACTTTTTAAACACTTTTTTACATTCCATTTCCCGCGTCGCCAGGTGAGTGCTTGGGCGGGTCTCGGTGCTGTGTGGAAGCTCACTCACCCTTCCAGACGACGGTGGTACAGATGACTCAGATGCTGAAAGACGTCTACAAGATGTTCGCACAAGGCTGTACCTCCTGTTCGCGTGCGTGACTTTTTGTTCGTCTGGTTTCATGCTGTCGGTTTATTTTGTTAAAGAAATTCGTTACTGGGTTGAATGTAATTTTGCTGTCCTTTCTTTATTATGTTATATTATTCTCTCCCTATCTCTCCGTCCCTCCGTCCCTCCCTTTCTCCGTCTCTGTCTGTCTGTCTGTCTGTCTGTCTGTCTGTCTGTCTGTCTGTCTGTCTGTCT